GCTCATTCCTGTCCCGTAACTTAAGGCAGCTAATGTTTTTTCGTACAGAAATCTTCAATATTTACGATTTTGTTAAGGACGAGCACGCAGGCCAGTTTGGACTCACGCTTATTTGTTCCGCAACCTGTTGGTGCTAGGCAGGTTTTAGCAAGACCGCAGGATCGACAGACGATGCATTTTGGAACCAAACGGTACTATCTGGAAACTGACCTCAGATGAGACGATAAATTTTGGAATTAGATGGTACTATCAGGAAACTGACCTCAGATGAGACGATACATTTTGGAAGCAAACGTTACTGTCTGGAAACTGACCCCAGATCAGACGATATATTTTGGAAGTGAATGTTACAGTCTGGAAATTGAACTCAAATGGGACGATAAATTTTGGAACCAAACGTTAATATCTGGAAACTAACCTCAGATGCTGTGTACTAAAAGTAACGTAACTTAATGATGTCACAAATATCATTCCATTCTAGGCGTTCGCTCCTGTGTTTGGTGGCGTAAAGTACACAATATTTTAAAACAATATGATGTCATGGGCTGGTTACTGACGCAAGGCTTGATCCGCGGCTGACTGGTGGTCTTATGGAAATATGTTAAGCGTTTTATTTAGAGTTGATTGGTGAACAAAATTAGCGGTGCATGGCCCTGAACTGTACCAGAGAATTGTATCACTGCTACATGATCTAGTTAAAATATAATCAATAAAAATCTAAATACGTTCCAAACAGAAAACTTGAATAAACAATTTCCCTGTATATGAGTAACCGTACATATAGTTTTCCCAAGTATGTGTTGTTGATGCTGGATCGATTAACATCTTAATAATATCACCAAATTAGGAAAACATAAATAAATTAGAACTAATAACTCCCATTCAACATCTAATATTATACTAAATTCATACAAACCTTGCTGTTGATAAAAGTCAAGCGGCAAGGTTTTAATATCTTGGTTAAATCATAACAATATTGATTAAATGAATCATTGTAATTTGAACTTAGTTGGTGGAGGTCAATATTATTGTTATTGGAACTGCTTTTGAGTGAAAGACGAAGTCCTGAGATAGAAGGGGAAATATAAGCTGAAGTCCTGTGATGGAATGGGAAATATAAGCCGAAGTCCTGAGATGGAAGGGGAAATATAAGCCGAAGTCCTGAGGTGGAAGGGGAAATATAAGCCGAAGTCTTGAGATGGAAGGGAAATATAAGCCGAAGTCCTGCGATGGAAGGGGAAATATAAGCCGAAGTCCTGCGATGGAAGGGGAAATATAAGCACGAAGTCCTGAGATGGAAGGGGGAATATAAGCTGAAGTCCTGAGATGGAAGGGGAAATATAAGCCGAAGTCCTGAGATGGAAGGGGAAATATAAGCCGAAGTCCTGAGATGGAAGGGGGAATATAAGCTGAAGTCCTGAGATGGAAGGGGAAATATAAGCCGAAGTCCTGAGATGGAAGGGGAAATATAAGGTCGAAACAAGTATAAGTCGTTGGTCGTAAGTGTAGTGATGATGGTGATGGTGAATTTAGTTCACCTTACGACATCGACTCGGCATTTCCACTGAATGACGTCAAACGATTGCGTTATCCAACACTAAGAGAAATTAGGGAAAATTTGTCCAAACAACGAACCATTATTTTTTTTATTATGTGTGTGATCCTGTTAAGTTTGGCCTGGCTATAGAGAGAGTATCAATGTTACGTCCGCTCTATGCTCGTGCTGTTAGTAAGAAAGTATGTCACAATTTATACAATATTACCCGTACATTTTATTGTGTTCAAGTCGATACAGCAGCAGCTATTGATCAGCTAACGAACTATTGCTCATATCGCCAATTCGGTCAAGATAGGCCCCTGATAAGCCCCTGATAAGCGTCTGATAAGAAACTCCATCGGCCATCTCGAGTCAGCAGTGGTCAGTTCTCCGCCACCCAGTCCATTGTTAACGTGAGTATCGTTGTTTTGACCAGGCATAATTAAAGTGAAATAAATAGAACAAAGTAACACAATTAGGTTGATAAATGATTGATTGTATTGTGTCTGAGGATTAAGTGGTATTTAATGTTTATTTAAGTTATAGAGGCTGTTATCGAGGCAATTGTTGTTGGTTTTAAACTGATTAGATGGCGAACGGCTCGAGTGCACTCAACCGGACACTCAGGCAGCTTAATGAAATTTTGTCTGAGAAGTGATTCTTTGTTAGGTCTTTCTGACCCAGCTTATTGAGATAAAAATGCGTATGAAGAGTATAGTGTATAAAACTATTCGATATATATGATTCGTTCATTTTTCTCAGCATACGTTGAGACACTATACGAGTACGTTGCGATATGATAGCTTATCTATTTAAATTGTATTAGCCTGCACACAACACTCACATGTGTGACAAAAAAGGGAAAAATCCCAACATTTAATATTTAAAAGTAAATTTGTAAGTTGCACGTGCAAAAATTTTTTATTTATTTGAAAATTTGAAACATACAATATGTAAGTAATGATATCATTAATTTTTCCCAAACAATGCATATGCAATAACGAAACCATGAAATTTGGGTAAAAAATGCGCTAGTGGCAACCCTGGTTGACATAATACATTCTTTAATTATATCCTGGTGACATTTGAAATAATACGTATATCAGTGATGTCCTAACGACAGTTGACATAATACATATATAAATTATTTCGTGGTAACAGTTAATGAGTTAACCACGCTTCAAAGATGGGTAAAAAATATTAAATTATTGTTAATGTGTTAATAGGGTAATAATTATTTTTCAAAGCTTGAAATTACCCCTAAAATTTATACTGAATTAGTTTCTTTCAAAATTCGTTTTGCCAGGCAATATGCCATCCTTGTTATGATATAACAATGCTCAGGTTCGATGTAATACATTATCAGCCTATATTTTTAGCGCATTTTCTCATTTATGGAAAAAATGCACTATTGTGCTCGCCATGTCCGTCTGTCTGTCTGTCCGTCCGTCCGTCCGTCTGTCCGTGACCTCAAGTTTTCGTCGACGAGAAAATGCGCTCTCTGTCACTCACTGCAGTGAGTACTGAGTTATATTTTTGAAATCTTTTCGTGTTGTTTCGTGATTATTTCCAGGAGAAAATGTCGCAACCAGCACCAGGTAACCCCGGTTACCCCCAACCCGGTTACCCCCAGCCGGGTTACCCTCAGTCGGGTTACCCTCAGCAGGGCTATCCCCAACCGATTTACCCCCAACAAGCCTACCCCCAACCAGCTTACCCCCAACCAGCCTATCCTCCACAACAGCCACAGCAGTGAGTGCAGCCAGAAAAATAGCGGGTAAAAGTGTATAAATGGTGACACACTTTGTGCATATAGCGCTGATACGCCCTCTCGCCGGGCCAAACTGGGTCAGGATGACACACACAAATCAAAAAGAGCATAGCTTTCTGGAAAAAGTGTATATAAAGTGTAAATGACCAATTACGAATCATATCGAAGCGCGAATTTAAGTTGCGTAGTAAAAATAGATGTATATTAATATATCAAATTTTTAGGCGGCAAAGTGAAAGATGTAGATTGATATATCCAATTCCCACAGGATAAAAGTGAATGTAGAATATAAATAAATAAATAAATACGTAATAATAATATTAAATTTCTCCAGGCCTCCCCAAATGCCCCAGCAGGAGACGACGCTCGAAGTGGGTGAAGGTGTGTACATATATGGACTAAATATTTCCATTACAATATTTTTTACTTAAATTTCATTGAATATTCTATGAATTGGCATTTAATAATATACGTGCATTATTACTAATCTTTCTGTGACTAAATCCATTAACATAGTTTTTGTTCAAATTTTAGTGAAATATTCTAAGAAATGAGCTTTAATTAAGATACATTATAATTATTATTTTTGCATTTGAAATATGAACAGTTATTCTTCTAGTTTAAAAAAGTATTTCAATGCAAATTAAATATTTTTCATAATTACAGACAGTGGCTTGCTCTTCTCCGACAAATCCATTCGCCGGGCATTCATCAGGTGAGGTTATTCATAATAATTAAATGTGTTCACTTAAATGATTTCTATTTTGTTTAGTAATCATTCACTCAACAATCAGCATTTGTACATTCATAAGATCTGGCCCGGTGTTGTTCAGGATCAATAATCCCGGCAACTTTGGAATCCTGCATTCCTGCATCTACGGTAATTATTATGAAGTTTATGCATGATAATCAAGAATGACCTGTTTAAAATCATATTTACATGAAAGATAGAACTCACATTTTACTTTCGCTTCAAGGAATGATAAACATCATTTTGCGCCATCTAAATTACACTTTTGAAGACCAATTTAGAGCTCAATTTTTGTGTCCTATCCTTTCTACCCTCTCAAGACATTTTTCTTCCCTTTTTTAATTTATCGGCGAGCATGGATCACTCGTAGTTATCTCATTCATATACAATACACACTCATTTCCCCCCAATCTACATCTATTTCAAAACCAGAACACCTTCTATCCCCTATTTCACCTTTAGCCATCTACATCCATTTCACAACCAGAACACTTTTTACCTTTATTTCACCTTAAACCATCTACATCCATTTCACAACCAGAACATCTTCTACCTCTACTCCACTTTAAACCATCTACATCCATTTCACAGCCAGAACACCTTCTACCCCCTACTTTACCTCAAACCATCTATATTCATTTAACAACCAGAACACCATCTACCTCCTAATTCACCTTAAACTATCTACATCCATTTCACAATCAAAACACATTTTACCTCCTACTTCAAATTAACCCATCTACATCAATTTCGCAATCAAAAGACCTTCTACCTCCTACTTTACCTAAAACCATCTATATCCATTTAACAACCAGAACACCATCTACCTCCTAATTCACCTTAAACCATTTACATCAATTTCACAGTAAAAATACCTTATACATACCCCCATCTCATCTTAAACCATCTCCACACATTAACCAAATCACCACCACTCACAGGAAGGTATACAGCATCCTGGCAGTGCAGTTGATCCTGACGGGGGCGATCATTGGGCTCTTCTACATTGACTCCTTCAGGCAATGGAACACAGATAATCCAGGCTTGCTGATCGCGTCTGGTAAATATTACAAAATGTTTAACTTAATTGTATGTTAAATTTCTTTGGCGATTTTGGACTTATGGGCATAATTTTGATTCCGCGTTTTGTCTAAGAGCGTTAGGGTAGAACAGTGAGTGCAATGGATATGGCTGATTTTGACTAGATGTGCATGTGAAATAGGGATGGAAAAGATCATCGAGGATAAACAATTATGCAATTCAACACATTTAAGCAGTGAATTCAGCGAATAACTCAATGCACTCTTCATCTAATTTGGGTTGCTGGATTAAGTGCCACAATACAATTACCTTGACACCATAAACAATCTATTACCTTTTCAGCGGTTGCCACCATCGTGCTGATGATCGCACTGATCTGTGCCCCGGATATGCGCCGCAAGTCTCCAATAAACTTAATAGTTTTGATGCTCTTCACGGCCTGCGAGGGCATGCTGCTGGGCTCTGTCTGCGCTACGGTTGATACTGACGCCGTACTCAAGGCCGTCTTAGTTACCGCCATCATCTTCTTTGGACTCACCGCCTTCGCCTTCCAGGTTTGTTGGATGGGGTGCATCAAGTTGGTGGAGGGTTTAAGGCCAACCGTATGCGCATGTTAGTTTTAGGTGGATAGCTTCTGTATGGTTGGGGAATATGGTTTACAATCTCTGACTTTCAGGATTGATAGGCTGGTATCAATGGGGTGGAGTAAGGAAAGGAGTAAGATCCACCATCTGTGTAAGTCAAAAGGTAAGTCCCACTGGTTAAAGTTCAGAGTACCAAGATCGGAGCAGAGAGGCGCGGGTTCGATCCCAGCTCTGTGCGACAGTTTTTGGTCAGAATCGGTGAGGAGCCCAGTTAAAATTTAGGGCAGGGAATAGAGCAGGCCGTCGCCGGCTGCAGAGCCGACGTAGAGACGCGACAGAGCTTTCGGAGACCAGAACCGAAACGTAGGGAAAGTCGATCAATTTTATGAACCGATGATGGTGCTGGTTTACACATTTTCATTGAAAATATGGTGAGTTTCCTCGGTATTTTCTTTGCCCTAACATTTGAGTTGAGAGTTCAATCCCGCAACATGCTGTGAATGCTGTGCAATGTTAAGAATCGGCGACAGGCCTACGGTCTAATAAACGATCATCATAAGTTCAACAGCCAATCATTGACGGCCTTTCAAGCAAAATCCACCTATCATAGACAAGAAAATAGAGCGTAAGTACTTACGTTCACTTAATCATAGACAAGAAAATAGAGCGTAAGTACTTACGTTCACTTTGCGAGTTTTGAAAGTATGGCCCCGGGGCGACCAAAATGGAACCCGAATTTCGACTGGGTAGTTTGTGGAAGAAGTAGGGCTCACCATTTGTGTCGGTTTCGTTTATGGAGAGTCATTATGGGTAGTGAAGGGTGTTTCGTCATTGGCACATCTCAGGTAGAGAGCCAAGGAAATGTAACACACATGGAGCACAAATTAATGTATCTTTGCGTTGGCTCATCATACAATTGTTCCTCCAGACAAAAATTTATTTTAAGACTTTCATCATCAGGGGCCATACTTTCAAACTCGCTAAGTGAACGTAAGTACCTCCGCTCTATTTTCTTGTCTATGATTGATGCATTTTGCTTGAAACGCCGTCAATGATTGGCTGATGAACTTACGATCTCATACCATTCTTTGAAAGTAAAGGCCGAGGACTACCTTTTCATGGTCGTTTAACTTTTACCCCTTTATTCCTACAGACGAAGATCGACTTCACGATGATGGCTGGGGCGTTGTGCTCCCTTGTGATGTGTCTCATACTTTTCGGCTTCATGTGCCTGATTTTCCAAAGCAATACCATGGACAACTTGTATGCTGCCTCGGGTGCGTTTCTCTTCTCCTGCTTCATTGTCGTGGACACTCAGCTCCTGATGGGAGGAAAGCGAAAATTGGCCATCAGTCCTGAGGAGTACATCTTCGCGGCCCTGAATCTTTACTTGGATATTATCAACATATTCATTTATATGCTGATGCTGTTTAGGGACTAAATACGAAGTAAAGCGCTTTGAACGGCATTTCAGAGACAGGCCCACCAGTGTCGAAAAACACCGTGTCGCCTTTTTTTCAATTTAACACTCGAAATACGTCCCAAATTTGAAAAAAGTGAAATGATCTATTTTCACTGGAGGGCCGGCCACTAGAACACCGGTCACACCGTTTTTCACCGTTATTTCGAACAGTGGGTTAGATCTTTGGGAACGACTAGAGCCGGAAAACTTGGCAATTTGTTTGAGCGAAATACCACATTTTTGGAAACTCGGTACAGTCTAAGTGGTTAAAAGTTAAATGAATACCTAAATTTACAAATTAAACCATTTTTAGGATTTCCGCATCGACAATGTAAGAAAAAATTTGGTTTCCAGGGTAATTATAACTGTGGCGATAAATTTTTCCATTTTTCACGAGCATGGGGTAAGCAAATGAACGAGTGAATGTTAACAGCGTTCAAGCGCTAACTGAGAACAGCTGCAGCAGAGTTTGAGGGCTAACATTTTTTAATTTCGAGGGCTAATTAAGAACTGCTTCATCAGCTTTTGAAATTTTTGTAGAGTTTGGACGATTAAGAAGATTTTCATTACATTTGTTCTCGTTTCATGAGGTTGTTGGATGGTAATTTTAGGTACTGCCCAAACGAAATTTACAGTCGCCTTAGCTTCTGATTTTCCGAATCAAATGCTGATACGGTTTTAAATTTCGTTTGGATAATTTTGTATTAATTAAGGATTTATTATTAATAATTATATTTAATATTATTATAATAATTATAATTAATATTATTACTATATTAAACTTAGCGTAGGCAGATATTTCCTGCGAATGTCAAACAACTACCATATATTAAAATAGGCGTAGAAGAAATGTTGTGAAATTTATTATAAATTTGTACTACTATAGTGAACCCTTGTTTTCGCAACTAACGGAGTACAGAACTACACGTAAAAGTAATTTCAGCGAAGATGGACAAAAATATATTTAGAATTTTTAAACTATTATTGACACTTCTGAGACAATAGTAGAACATGTAATAAGTTCTCTCGTTATTAACAATTATTGAACATGTAACCTTTTTCTTTTCCCTTAAATCTCGTGAAACAATTGTTTTTCTTGTGAAAGGCTACGCGATGATAAAATCGTTTGCCATATATATATTGTTTTTAGCATATATATAGTTTGATATAGTTTCAAATTTGATACTGTTTCATATTCATTGTGAAGTTTCACATTTGATTCAATACAATGAAACATTTTTTATTAAAATTTGTGCAATAGATTAGGAAAACAGGGAGTTACAACTTTGTATGCTTAATAACACTTTTTCAGATTATACAATTTGTATTGATAAGTATTAGATGGCATAATTTACTAGTTTATACATGTTTGAATAATGACCACATAATGTATTTGATCAACATTTACAGAGAATTAAACATATCTTCAGAGGATTTTGGTAATCAGAATGCAGCTTAGCGGAAGGCAGTTCATAGATAGAATTTGTCTATAGAATTTGTCTATAAAATATAGAATTTTTTCATAGAATTTGTCTCTAAAACAGCCCTACGCTGCTTTTGATTTAGAGAAAGAATCCAGGATAGCGACAGAGCCTAGGAAGCGGTTCGTAGGAATGATACAAAGAAAAAAAATCATAATCACAGAAAACGAGCAGCTGGCCCAGTGGTTAAAGTTCAGGGCCAATACTTTCAAAAAAGTTAAGAGATCATAAGTTCATCAGCCAATCATTGACGGCCTTTCGAGCAAAATCCACCAATTATAGACAAGAAAATTGAGCGTAAGTACTTACTTACATTCACTTAACGAGTTTTAAAAGTATGGCCCAGAGAGTACCAAGATTGGAGCAGAGAGGCGGGGGTTCGATCCCAGCTCTGTGCGCCAGTTTCTGGTCAGAATCCGCGAGGAGACCGGGCGGTTAAGCAAAGAAAATTTTAAGCAGTGAGTTGTGAGTTCAAGCCCGCAACAAGCTGTGGATATTCTACAATGTTAAGAATCGGCGACAGGCTTACGGCTTAAAAACGCTTAAACCGCTAATTTATTATTATTACTAGTTACTTGCGACAACGTTATGAGACCTTGTTCATACATATTTTGCTTGTAGCGGGTAGCGTAGGGTGTAGGGTAGGGAGCCCAGCCAAACACTTATGCCAGAAGTACTTTTCAGTCCAAACTTTTTTGAGCGCTCTGATGGAAATGGAATAAGGCCCAAAATTTTGAAAAATTGACAATACAATACTTGGGGCACTCGAAGATAGATTTATTTTCAATATTTCTCTGATTGGTTAAGAATTTATATAGTTGGTTATGTTGGTGAAATTGCCTTTTTTACCTTTTTTATTGAAAACGGGTGAGGCTGAAATTATAAAAAATGCCCATCGTGGAACTTTGGGCATTCGAAGATGAATTTTGGTTGCGTATTAAAAATGGTGCGTGTTCATTTGAGAAACATAAGAGTTATTATCAACGCAGGCTGAGCGCCGGCAATTGCCCATGCAGTAGCACATGTACGGGAACGCTCATGCACTTTTGTCCGACTAGTACGGACAAAAAATATTGTAAAACTGTGAGATAAAATGGTTGACATGTTTATCGCGTTATGTTGTGACAATATAATGCACGCACAGCAAGACAACAATCAAAGATATATCGGACTAATCGAGCTCACCGAATAATCGGAGGGACTGGGCTGAATTTCAAGGTATGAAATGGGGAGTCGAAGAGCGAATTCATAAGGTGTTTTCTGCCGTTGGTTTATACACGTTCTTCCTGCTGAATGAAACTAGTTCCAGGCTATACATCCTAGAAATAAAATTAAAAGATGGAATCATTTGCGAACATGTAGCCACAACACTGTGAATATTGAACGAATAAAAAATGGAAATTCATATGAAAATTGGCTGGAAACTGGGGATCAAAATATATGGAATAAGTAGTCATTTCTTTGTGAAAAGGATAACCGTACCAGATGAGCGAATGTAGTATGCATCACTTGAGATAACAGAAGATAATTGCATCAATTTTTTGTGTCAAAGTTCGTTTTTGTTATTCCTTTACGTGTACATATAAATTTTCTTTTTAAATTTGAGTGTTATAGAACAACAAGATTTACATACTATGAAGCGGTTAAAATATTTCAGTTTTTGCTTTATTGTTTAATTCCGCTGGGAAACCATGCAAACCCGGAAGGACTTTCAAAACAAATTTTTTTTGTTACGTAATGAAACTTTTTTCTTCAGACTTTGTGATTAACAGTTATATAGCAATGAACATGCATTGCGAGAGAACAACTGCATTTAACTAAGCGATGTGTGGGGGCGGCTCCTGACATTATCATGCGAACAGGAAGTGGTACAGACGAACTAAGTTACTTCGACCTCAGCACGTACCAAGTACCTCTGACCTCACAAGTTACCATTGTACCCTTGACCTCAGGAGTAACTATCTTACTCTCCCATTCAGGAGTTACCGCCTGATTAGAATAAGAAAAATATATATAATAATAGTTTAGTTATAGTTTCATATCGTCTCGTATCTTGTAGGGTTGGACACTCGGAGTGATTACTCCACCAATTTTACGTTACGTTCAGGTTCAGGTTCAAGATACCGGTATTCATTACTTATCGTTTTGTCAGGTGGTCGCCGAGTGGCGCTTGATTGGCACGTATGAAAAGGTTCTCTTTTTGGAAAGGTTACGGCAAAATATAGTATAAAGAGAGGGTTGAAATGAAACACTGATACATTTCACAATAAATTGGAAAATTTAAATTGACATCCTACGTTAACAAAAATCTGTAGTACTTGAAAAATGTAATCCGAACATAATCAAATTTGAGAAACTATCAGTTTACATACGTTGATAAATTGCAGTTCCGTTGAGCCGTACGACCGTTGCAAACGACCGTATTGTACACGCACACTTTGCGGCCGTAGGTTGAGCGGCCGTACCGCTGTTGCATTCTTGCGTCTGCTTTCACAGTTGCTCTTTCTTCATGGCCGTATTTCTCGCGCTATAGTGATGTCTCGCGGCCGGTCTAACCGTAGAGTTTATGATGACCATACTTCGGAATAGTGGTGCTCGTCTTCATATGTCGATGAAAATACTCCAACTCCGTTGTCGTACTGCGGTCGAGATGACTGTGACCGTACCGCTCTTCTGATGGAAATAGTGACCGTACTATTGATGACCGTACCGATGATAATTCTTGGTGTAGAGCTCGAAACTTAGATCTTCTGATGACGTGCGTTATAATCGTTGTACAACTCGTAGCTCTCTCGCATTGTCTCACGGCTAAGTCGCAGCCGTAGTGTTGATGTTGATTTTCTTGACGGGCTCACCGGACTCGTAGTTGCCTCGATAGTCTAGGTTTCTCGCGAGTCGCGACCGTCAATGTTCGAAAACGACTTTACTAATATTATTATGTTATATTAATAATATCATTATTATCAGTATTGATTTTAGTATATTATTACGTTACTAATATTGCTCCGGTAACTCATGTCAGGTGGTAGAGGGTTTACGTTAACAATCAATCAAAGTTGTATCGATGCTATTTGTATGCAGCATGGCCTCTGGCGCTGCTGTGAACACTTTGCTCCGCGTCGCGGTCACGGTAGGGCGGTTGTTCTGGTGCTGGCACTGTAACTTATACTGATGTTCACTGTAGCTTTTTTGTTTTCACTGTAGCTTCTACTGATGTAGCGATTCAAAGTAGCTTTTACTGATGTAGCGATTCACTGTAGCTTTTACTGATGCCGTAGTAACAGCAATGTTAGAAATATTTAGCACGTTGAGTGTGGTACGACCCACTGGTGGCTTGCAGGGTCTTTTTTCCGGACAAATTGCGGTTACGCAATTGAGTTTTTAGCGCATTTTCTCATTTATGGAAAAAATGCCCTATTGTGCTAGTTAAGTCCGTCCGTCCGTCCGTCCGTGACTTCACGTTTTCGTCGACGAGAAAATGCGCTCTCTGTCACTCACTGCAGTGAGTACTGAGTTATATTTTTTTTCAATTGCGTTGGCCGACATAATTTTATTATATCGGTACTTCCTTATTAAATTCTAAACATATGCAAATAGGAAAAATTAAATTTTTACACTGGACCCTACAAATTTACTTGTATACGTATATTGAATTACATACCTTTTTTGTCCGCGGACTTGGCCTTTTTTAAGCCATCTGGCAGCACTGAACTTATTGAAAGTCCTACCACTGTTTTTGCATCAATTTAATACTAATGAAAAATTTAATACTAATTTCAACCTAATAAACAATTTCGAGATAATTTCGAGATTTATAAATTGTGAACTATTTGTAACTATATTGATTTATCAATTTTTCGTTGGGAATGTATTCCATGAGCACAACATTCGATAATATACTTTACGCGAATAGTTTTCGATTTAATTGAGTCTATTTAAGTTTGGAAAAGCATTAATCAGTGGCATCAACCCAAGAATCACGTTGCAATGATTTTGAAATGGAACTACATTGATAATTATGCGTGTTGATGATACTGGTAATCCTGAACAGCAAATCAGATTTTTCATCAATGTCCAAGAAAAATCTCCGAAATCTACCATAGATACCACATAGTATTGTAATCGGTAAAAATTAAAAACATGTCTCTTAAAATCAGTGGCAAATTAGTGAATCTGTGGAACGTGAACTTTAAAGTAGGGAGAGATTAGGGATGATGAAGTAGGGAGAGATTAGGTGTGATGAACCACTC